AGCAGTCCACATTTGGCTTGAGCCAAGCAGAGGATGAATTTAGTGTAGTCAGCCGAAGAATTGGAAGGTTGGCACTCATTTTGTCATCTGCCACAGACTTTCTATGTAACTGTGGGGCTGAAAGGCCTTACATTTCTCTTGCCATATCAGCAATTTTACCAGGGCAATAAGGAACTATCCACATATTTCTGCTGTTTGTCACACTAAAAAAATGGTCAATGAGTCCAAAACAGAGTGGATCCATGATAAGGTAGTTGCTGTTTTAAACAAGTTACTTTGTCTTTCTGAGACAAAATTAGCATGTGGACAGATCCAAGAGATCCCTACTGTCTTACAGTGTTTTGATCTCCCTCTCCCCACCTCCAAAGGGGAGGAAAAGAGAGGTGCTCCCCTGGGGGTGAAAGAAGCCAAGGACCAATCCACTCTTGCAACTGCACCAGGGTTTATTGTATCCCACTAATATTATGTGTTGATGCTCCCACTGTCTCTCATTGACATTTTCTACTGTGAGAAATGTCCTTCCCTGAATAAGTTAAATAGCCAGGTGTCATTCTTTCCACAGGCTCTTTTTAAAATATAAATACATCTTTGTCTGAAAGGCTCTGGCTCATGTGCCTCGGACCAAGTCTGCAAAGGTCTGTTTGACTGGCCATGATGCCTACCATGTCATATGCTAATTCTCATTGATTACTTATCTCAGGCATTCAGGCTCTGAGTCCATCCCATGTGCAAAAACACATTGTTTATGGAGTGGCACCTGAAAATTATTACCAAGCTATTCAATCCTAACCCTATTATAACATATGACATACGTGTATATCAAGTATCACAATGCATAAGGACAAGGCTAAATACAGCTTAGCACTACCTGTACTGCAGAGTTAAAAAAACTCCAGCAGTAAAATAAATCTCAAGAAAACATGCATGACATTCCACAAACATCTCAAAATCTTGTAGGTTTGTGACACTTTCCTCGGCTAGAAGAGGGTCAAATCCACATCTTCACCCTCACAAGAGGGTGCACTAATCAAGCTTTTGGCCGCTTGAGTGGGAAGTACTCTCAATACCTTGTGATGGATCTTCACTGCTGAGCAGCAAGGAATTCAAGATTCATTGTATCAGAAAAAGGAATAGCACAAGGAGAAATATGACTGTAGTCCAGTGAACTTGTCTATTGGGGTTTATTTATTAGATTTTCCAGAAAAGTTTCATCAACTAGGTACAGGGATTCAAAAAGCCTAAGGTGAAATGGATTTAAAGTTATGCAGTGTTCTGTAAGCAGCATAGTTTAGATCAGTAGCAAACAGAACACACATTTGCCCTTTGGTGGGGTGGGGTGGGGTGGGGTGGGGGGAGGATGGACACAAATATAAGACTGGGTTCCACCATTTTTAAACCAGTTTATGCATGCCAAACTTCTTTTCTGTTACAGGTATAGACTGGTTTTGGATTACTTATATCGGTAAAAGTGTAATGCCTGTATCTGCCCATTGTGGTTTACAATAAGAGATTAAATAACATATAAAAACAAGCAAAATATTAGAATAAGATACAACATTAAAACTCCTTGAATGATAACCCAACTTAGCCTTGCTTACTAAATGTCTGCCCAAATACCTGAAGGTTGTGCAGCCCCTGCTACTATTCAAAAAGCATTCTACCATCTGCAGACATAAATACTTCTCCCAAGATTCAAGCTGCTATTCAAATACTAAAGATTGTCCTTTCAAAGTATGTTTATTCCTAAAGATCAACTTTTTATACTTTCAGATTTATAATTACAGTTTTCCTTCTTACATTGTCATGGTGTAGTGCCTTCTGAATTAAATGTTATTCTTATTCTTTCAGTATGGACAGTTTCACAATTGTTTGTTCAGCATATACAAGACTGATTAAAAAAAAAACAGGCAGTGAAAGGGGTTTTGGGAAGGGAATTATGACCATCTTTATCCATTTGGGAAAAGTATCAGTCCCCTCAGCTTGTGCATAGCAAAGCACTATAGCTGCCATCACCCATGATGACAGATGCCTGCTTTATTTATGTTTTTCTGTTTTAAATGCTGTGTATAAAAATTACTAAAAAATCAGTGTTCTATAATTTTGTTCCTCTGGACAGTCCGGTGTGATTCATTCTGTTTTCAGAGCAGAAACTGAATTTTCAGTAAGATTAATGGTGACCATGACTTGTCCCCCCTAGGTGGTGGTTAAAACATCTCATTTTCATTAACTAGGCCATGTGATTCATCTTTTCAGAATTTTTAAGCTCCTTACTGACAGAAACAGTGTGATAGAAACATTTATAAGAGTGGACAGGAAAAGACTTAACTATATATAATGCTCTCTCTGAAATCTCCTGAAAACATAAGGCAACATCAGTTAGAAAGTAGTTATCTTTGATAGCCAATATGTGTTACCACATACCAGGTAAACTGGATACATTGTGTTCTGTGGATTTAACTGCTATTACAACCGCATTGGATTGTATGGGCTATCATGTATTTGAAGAGTGAGTAGGATACTACTTGAATTTAAATAACTGTCATGCACAAAAGTAGAGGTCAAATACAGGGACCAGGTTTAATGCAATAAGCAGAATTTCAGTTTGCATTTCTATGTATACACTCAGGAATACACAGACTATCTCATCCATAAAGACTCACAGATTTTAAATGGAGCAATAGACAGAGAATATAATTCAGTTCTTTAAGACCAGTCTAGAGAGAGACTTTTTTGTTATTATTTATACATCCAGTTATCTGAGGCTTATGTTTTGCCATTACTTCTCTCAGATTTAAAGGGTAATTTATTTTAACTAAACTGGTATTTTACCACTCATCACTAGAAACACAGAACTGAAAGCACTGCCAGAGGGAAAAAAAAATAGCTTAGTCTTTACGGTTCAGTTCCTTTAAAAGTGAAGGAAGCGTAAAATGGCAGACATACCAATGTCAATGATTCCATCTGGGTTTTGTGCTTAACATTGCAAAGTTGATCCAGACAACAGTTTCTAAACAGTAGTAACTGGGTGTAGACCATTCTCTTACAACATGGCAACAAATAGCAATCATGGTAAAGAATTCAAATTTTCCGAAGAGTGTTTTTGATAATTGACCTAGGGGCAGAATGTACTGTCTCTCAGTATCAATTTCCTGAACAGTCAAAGGAAGGAGTGACAGGGACCTACACTAAAGATATTGTCAAACATAACAATTGACTTGCTATCAAAGAATGCTGATATGCAAGCTGTTAGGATGCAGCTTTTATATTGGCATGATCCTGTAGTGAAGCAAGTATGGCAAAAACCACTCCATATTTAACCCCACTTCATTCAGGGACAAAAGTAGGTCACTTGTATCACAACAAGCTTATGCAGATGTAAGACTTACAGGGTACATCTACACGAGATGTTTCTTGCAGAGTTGCCTAATTATCTCCACAGTAAAGTCTCAGCATATGCACATGCAGTGCTATTAGGACAGAGTTAACTAATTAACTCTGCCATAGGTTAGTACTTGTAAACATAAGCACTATCCTTCAGGGGAGTTTTTTTAACTGTGCAGTAATGCACTGTAGACACTAATGGGACCAGCTGGGACACAAATGTGCTTCAATGTGGTGGCTCCCTGACAGCGAGCCCTGCACTGAAGTACCCTCATGCCCTACCCAGCCCCTCCACAGCATGTTTGCTGACCCCGCAGGCTGGCAGGCTGGCAGGCTGACCCTCAGGCCCACTGCCACTTGGGGCTGCTCTGATCCAGCTCAACGTACCGCAGTTCTGGGTGCACCTTCAACCGTGGCTCCCAGGAGCAATGAACTCCAGTGTGGTATATGCCGGAGTTTATTGCTGTGCACTAATTGCACATGTAAACACATGTAGACACATGTAACATGTAGACACGCTCACAGTGTAACAGCTGATATAAGCACCTGAACAGCTGCAACTCCCCACTTTTCTGAAAGCAGCTAAAATGTACATTTGCCCATAACATAAAGGCTTGTGATATGGCACTTGGACTTTAAAGAACAAAAGGGTTTCAGACTGTTGTTCTGTCTTCTTCAGAGAAGAACTCAGAGGGCAGTGGACACAAGCAAACATTGTGCTGGTTCTATTTCTTCTTCAACCGGTAAGCCCAAGCACACTGGAAATGAGAATATTTGGCAATACAGAGACTTTGCTGATGGTATTGTGATGGAAACATCACTGCATAAGGAAGGTCTTGTGCCACTTTTTGGTACTGTTATATCGAGCATCACTGCATAAGGAAGGTCAGAGAGGAAAAAGTGCAAGTATTACAGAAAGGGAAAAGGCATAAGGAAAAGAAAGTAAAAAAGGAGAGAAATACAAATAATACTATTTTTCAGATTTGAAGGGACTCAGAATTATGGCTAGTTAAATCACGAGGGGAAAATATTTTCAACAACACCTGTTCTGTTTTTACTCACTTCTGATTCCAGTTTCAGGTGCTCTCTTCTCTCTGCATTTTTCTAAATCCAGTATATGCAGCTTCCCCCACCTTTCTAGTTTCATTGTTCCCTTTTCTTTCTGTAAGAGAGTGGTGTGTGTGGCCCCACAGTGCATGAACCAGACCTTGCCTCTGGCACTGCTTTAAGTGGGATCTACAATGCAACAAATTAAAACCAACTTAAGCCCTGCTTCTGATGTGATTTTTCCCTCTGTGGTTACACAGGGAGAAAAAAGAAAACCAGAACTAGATCACCATGGGCAATATGCAGAGTAGTCAATTCTAAGGAAACTTGAACACCAACTGAAATAATAATGAAGGCAATTTGCAGATAATATTTTGATGGAAGGAGGCACAGTCAAATTATCCACTGCAGATGAATAAGAATGAGTCATCAGAATATTCTTATTCTTCCACAAGAGTAAAAGAATAAGATAAATATTTTAATGATATTAGTTACTTTAAATAATTAGCACTCATTAGTAGAGGTATGTAACAAAAGGGCTCTCTGATTCTTTTATTATTTTTTAACTCTAGGTATGAACAGATGAACTAATAAACCAGTGTAATTTAAAGCAGTTTTGGTATTGTGATGGAAGCCAACAAATGTGAAACCATAATTTGTTCTATATATGGATTTCTGAGCATTGGCTCTCAAACAGAAGCCATTAAGCTACCTCATTGTTAAGAAGCATGGAGACTGGTTAACCAGTGTACCCTGAAGTGATGATTCCCTGACACCTTCTGGGATAGGAAGTGACATGTCTTCAAGAGAAACTGACCTTAAAATTCTTGGAAGTCCCTGGAATTCACTTTTCAAAGGTACGTGCTATTTGCCTACTCCCATTCCATTGACTTCGGGTTGATCATAGTTAGGCTAAAGGCACATTGAAAGTCCCATGCCAAATTCGTATTTAAATTGATAAGCTTTAAAAAAAGCATAGTAAAATTATAAACAATATATATTCTGCTGCCCTTATTTATGCAGTATGTACTGTGCTTACAAGTATACCCATTGATACTATTTTGTTTAACTTGTTGTTTGATTAACTACTCAGATAACAGAGGCTTTAGTTATGGTGGTGACCCTAAGCAAGGTAATTGATGGGGTGAAGGGCTCACTGACACAAGTAAAGGCTCCATTATCTGGTCCAAAGGGACTACATAAAAAAGGAAGCTAGTGTAAGTAAGGGAGACCTTGACCCTGTTTCTTTTTTAAACATGCAGATTTTTTTTTATTATATAAACACAAGTTAGGATATAAACATAAGTTGCCAAAATAAGCAGATCACATATAGTGGGATGTGTCACACCATAGCTGTTCTGCTTCACAGGGTGAAACATACAGGGGCCCAATCCTGCAGAACAATGGAGACGTTTCCTGCATACAGAGGTGCAGGTTGGAGATTCCCTGGGATACAGTTCTGTAGGCAAAGAAAGCCAGGGTTTCCCTGGGGCTTGAGGGACCCAATTCTGCACAGGAATTTCAGGTACATATAGGATCAGGTGCCCAAAGCGCTGGGGGCCGCTGGAGGGTACATGCAGCTCCAGGCTGCCCATGCTCTTGCACTATAAAGCTAATACGCATCTGCCACAATAAACCAATAGAAAATATTACTGCCTTTCTCACAGCCAAAAATTTTAGCCATTTATAGTGCAATAAGGGATATGAACGTCTGTTTGTTTGGCTTTTATACCACCATAATTTTTTTTTTTTATGGCAGCGCAGAAGTGACATCTATTTCCACTCTTATTTATCTAACATCATGTCAGTTTATAAACAAGAGATCAGGTTGTACATAATGACATCTGCCATTCTTAGATTTGGCTAGGTAGGACTAGGAAGTCCAAACAGCTTCTTTCTTTTCTGTCTTTGAATCATTTGGAGCCTTTTGATGCAGTCAGCTGTCTGAAGGAAAATATGGTCCTCCTGTAAACTGCAGGTAACAATATATATCTGTCAGAAATAAATGGTTGAACTGCTTGGGGGTTAAGTCTTTGATACTGGCCAGAGATAAAGGCATAAACTGACATACTCAGTGATACTGTAAATTTTTAGTCACTCAAAAATTTCAGTATGACATAATTTTTAATAAAGAAAATGTTCCAATGCAAAAATAAGTATACAAGTGAAAAATCATGGAAATAGAACACTTTTATTTCAAAGAAGTATTCAATGCAAATTCCTTATGATTTGTAAACAGACTTATTTGGAAACTACTCTAAGAACATGTGAATAAATGTCAAAATATGAACTATTCACAAATGGTTTTCTTCTATCCCATTATTGCAACTGCAATAAGATAAGAATCTCCCAACCTTTACTCCCTCATCATGGAACCAAGGCTGGGAAATTAGACTCTCCCAGCCCCTGTTCTGTGATTACAAAGTGGGGGCTGGGAGCTCCCTGCTGCTGGGGGCAGGGGGACATTATCTCTGCCCGGGCTTCAGTAGCAGAACCTGCCTCAGCAGCAGGCAGCTTATGGGGGCAGGGAGCAATCTCCTGCCCCCTGCTGCCCATCTGACCTGGACCACATTTGCTCTTAATCACCCATCTATACATGCTGTATGATGTAAAAAGTAATCGTTAGTAAATTTGCTACTTGTATTTACAGGTAGAAAATTTACTCATGATTAGAGCAAATTACTGCACAGTAAGCATCTGCACATCTAGATGGTGATGTTTACTGTGCAATAATTTGCGCTAATTTCATGTAAAGTATTTCAAGATGTGCCCCATGTGTAGGGATATTTGGTTAATCTTCTGCTCCAAGGGAGATCAAAGTGCAAATCTCTGTGTACTGAAATCAGACACAGTGATAACCTCAAACCCAACAAAGTGGAAACTGTCAGGTTTTGTGCAAATCTAATCTGAACTGTGACAAAGGGGCATGCAAAAATTCCAGTTATCTTTTCAGGAAACTAACAAGAAGCTTTGTCTGAAAATAATTCCTAAATAGACTATATCATGAAAGCTCATAAGTGACTGCCAGTGATAACTATAATTTGGAGGACAATTACAATCAGTGACTATTTTTTCAATACATTAGTTTACAAATAGTCCTTCTGTGGCAGTTGTTCAGGGTACTATTTCTTATTGCCAGCTTTTTCTTCTGAGTTTAACTCAATAGCCAATGAACTGTAGTAAACCTCACAAAATTCTCCAAGCATTGTCGAATTTAGCAGCATGATAGAACATTTCCATAGTGACTGAGATGCACTTTTAACATCTGAAGTTTGTGTGGGTGTTTGTCTTTTGGTTCATTGCTTCACCAACCACTGTATCTAGCTTGGAATTACTTCTGCTTCTACATATCTCCCCCCTACCCATTCCCCAGTCTATAAACCCAAAGTCCACATGCAACATCTCATAAAAGCATCTAATTTGAAGACTTGGAAGCATAAACCATGTACAACACCAAAGATGTACAACAAAGATGTAGAAGTGGTGTAAACTTTAACCCACATGCCATTGGCTGCTATATGCATATGTCTAGGAATGGATCAAAATGATTTAAATGAAAAATCCCTATACCAAGATTGTATTAGGTTATGTCAGCAGCCCTACATGCAAACATTAGCAATATTCACTTCTCACGCACATTTTTAAATTTGCCCCAGTCTTCTACTTAAGTTATCACGTGTTCTAAACATGCCAAGAAGATAATGTATGTGTTTTGGTTTTCATTTTATTTTTCCTACAAGCTGGATACATCTGAGTAAGATTAAATTCATTTATTTGGAAAGTACACAATGACATGTGCTTCTGCAGTTCATTGATGATAAGCTATAACAGGTCAAAGTAAGAGCAAAACTTTCCAAAAGGAAGTTATAATATGTAGCTTTCTTTGATTGCACATCTGCAAAATGTGTTACCAAATGGACAAAATATTGCCAAAAAAAAAAAAGGAGGAAGCTGGAAATGAAGAAAGATCCAGAAATTAAGTTGATAATGCATGATTAGAAATAAGAGTTTTACATGGAGGAAAATGAAGTAGAAAGATGCCATGTAACAGTGAATTTTACCATAGATAACATGACAACAATAAAATTAATAGTAGTAGAAGTCTGTTAAAACTGTTAGAAATTGTTCTAAAATGACAAATCAATAGCAGAAATACAGTATTATTCAAGGTAGTTATAGAGGACCTGTGACAATAATATACAGACTGCTCATGAATTCAGTTAGAAAGACAGCTAGAAAAGCTACAGAATGAGTTTTTGGAAGTGGTTTGATGTGTCATATTTTGTCTGAAGGCCAGGCGAAAAAAGGAGTCAGTGATGATTTTGTGGTTCTCACTGAAACAGTTGGAGGCCATTCAAGGAGACATTTTAGGTCAAATGGTAGTGTGTTCTGCTGTGCCTTGCAATTGGTAGGCCAATAACTTGGGAATGTTGTTATCCCACAGTGATACAACAGTTTTTTTCATAATCACTGAAGCCATATGTGGTGGGCCAGTAGGGGGTGCTCCTGCGCCTGAGCCACCCACCTCACTACACCCAACCACCTTCCAGGCTTCAAGTGCCTCCCTGGGTGCGCCTCACATCTGGCCAACCCACCTTCCTAGAGCACACCCGCTAGTCTGAGGGTAACTCTGCCACCACCCAGGCTAAGGCTTGATCCTGGCACTGTGCCCTCTGGGAAACACAGGCCTAGTAGTCCTTGAGGGTAGTCGACCCACTCCAAGAACTTGGGGTGTTTCCGTCAGTCTGAAGCACAAATAGTGGTCTCTCTTAGTCAGCTGAACCAAGGGGACCCCAAGCCGTAATCTAGACCCACTCCCAATAAATCTCCCATGCTATGTACAAAGGAGAACTTTATTGGTTACAAGGAGTAGGTTTGAAATAGGGTACAGGGTACAGCAATATCAGAGAAATCCAATAGAGCAAACTGGCATGGCTGGGTAGCCTTTGATCACACATCTGAGTTACTGCAAGCTAGATATCTAGCTAGATCTCAGGTACCTTACTCACAAGTATCATCCAGAGGCAGGTGGAGATTCCCTCTGGGGCTAATAGTTCATTAATCATGAGTTTCAAGACAGTGAAATTCAGATGGTCCAGCTCTTCTCTCTGAGTTTTCATCATGGCTACTTCCCCTCCTCCTGGGCAGACCTTAACTTATATAGAACTTATGACCTCATTTACCTGGTCCAATGGAGGCCAGCACCTGTTGGCTGCCAGCCAACCAATTTGAAATGCATCACTGGTTGCCGGGTAGACTGGCAGTCTCTAGTCCCCTCCCAGTCAGGTTGGCATTGCTTAGAACAATAGGGAGCCCCTCACCCAGGTATGTGATGCCAGTCACGTAGGCAGAGGGAGCAGGTTTCCCCCCTCCCTCAGGAATGTATCCAGCTCAGGTTACAACTCAGGGTCACCTAAGAGATGGATGTCTGTCCTCTGCAGGGACCATGTTAACCAAATTGTCACAGAGCAGAGTTTTGGAGAGAGACAGGGATGGTATTCTGCCACACCATATGATGCTTTTAATGCATCACTTCTCATTCTAGCCACAGGTCCTTTGGTTATTCTGTATAATGAATTTGTTTTGTTTTGTTTTGTTTTTTTTTTGTTTTGTTTTGAATTTTGAAGGGTGGCAAATTCCTGAAAACATTTTTCTAACAAAAGCTCTTCTTCAGTCTTCATAGATTTCATGGACCTTGTAAGACCATTGGGTCCAGCCTATTTTTTCAACTGTACTTCTGTACTTCATCCAAACCAAAATATTTGTAATATCCATCTGATAGAAATTAGAGTTAGTTAACCCAATGCATATGCAACTAAGTATTCTGAATTGTGCATCCATTTCTGCTGGTTTTCCA